ACGCGCAGAGCCGATGAGTCAAATCAAAGGAGATTGTTTGGTAAGATAAAAAATAAAAAGGGAAAGTGTATATAACATATTTGGAATTTACCTGTTTCTTACTTGTTTATGCAAAATAAGTTGCTTTCTTAAAGTTACTCCTACATGGCTATTAAAATAAGTAACTTATTCCAACTTCGATCAAAAATATGCTTTTTATTTAGAAAATTATTTTCCTAGAAGTTTACTTATAAAGAAACGTTTATGCATAACCAAGCATGCTTAAGCCCAACAAGTTTCTAACTAAAGTACTTACTACTTCCATAAGAACTTGAATATCGGCATCTGGGATCTGATGCCCGAGCTTGTGCAACCCAGCTCTCAACTCATTAAGGTCAATCTTCCCCTTGTTGCCGGTATCCATCAATTGGAATCCTTCCTTTATGCCTGCCACTTCCTCCGCCGATAAATGCTCGGCAATCACCTGTTGTTTGAAAAAGCAATTTTAGTAATCAAATACCTTGCTATGAGATGCTTTTAGGTATCAACAAATGAGCTTCGGAACTACATTAGGCATAAATGAAAGGAATCAAGAAATTGCTCTTGTATAAATGTGCAAAGCAAGAGGAATTACCCTTAGAGCTCTTTTCTTCAATTTGTTCATCATGGAGAATTGCTTGAGCCTTGCCCTCACGGTTTCACCCAAAGACACATTTGGAGCGTTCTTGGCATTCTGTAACCAAGGATGATCTGAAAGCCAACAGCAATATTTGTCACAACTTCTATATTTGATTCTGAGTGTACTCATGATCACTAAAATTTATTTCATGTCTCGTTGGTTAATGTAATGCCCCTAAATTTTTAGAATAGAATATTTATTTGTTTTATATGCTATATTTTAATATTTTGAAAAAAAATTAGGATTAAAATGAAATAGGTTTTAAAATCAATATTATTTTTGGGTCAAATAATTAGATATAGATAGAGCGAGATTTAGTATATCAATATTGGACTTTTTTTGTATTTCGTAATTAATTAAAAGTCTTCGACTCGAAAAAAATTATTTTGGATAAGAACACATTAAGTTAGACCCAATTGAAAAAAAACTAGGATAAATTGAATTTTAAATAATTTATAACCCAAATCAATTTCTTCATCTTGGCAACATGTGTGTGAAATGATAAAGTTTGATTTTACTAATAATAACTTTCTTTGTGATTTGATAAAGTTTAAAAGTAATCATAATTCTATTATTTGAAATCCATTCTTATCCAAATTCCTTATATTACACTTTTTTCAATTCTAATTGCATACAATCTCAATTGAGAATTTTAACTATAAATACGGCAAGAATTCTCATTATTTCACCCCAGAAAAAAAAAAGAACCACGGGAGAGAGAGAAGGAGAGGAAAAAGTATAGAAAAATAAAAGATCTTTTATGTGCAAGATTTTATTCTTTTCAACTTTTCAAAATCAAGGTCAGATACTTTTGTGCAAGTGGTTCGTTTCTTTATACTTTTATATTCAATAATTTATGCATGAATTTCCAATAGACCTTCGGGTTTTATCCAATGTTGAATCGACCTTGATTTTGAAGTTCTTTATTAAGAAATATGAGATCCTACGGGAATTTAAGATGACCTAAGATGGGTATGTCGCTTGGTCACCGATATACTCCATAAGAAAAGAGCGGTATGAAGTGTTTATTTTATTGTTATATAATTGTGTATGAAAACTGCACGTACCTTATTGGGTATTTTTAAATACTCACTCTTACAAAATTTTACAGGTTAGTTCGGGTCGATTGGAACTGTGGTGAGATGGTGATACAGACTGCCAAGAGAAATTGAAGAAATATAAACATTTAAGTTTTTTTTCCTTTAATTTATTAGTTAATTTTATTCGTTCAAAGACGTGTTATTTTATTGGTGATTATATTATAAAATTTTTATGTTTAATTTAAATTTAAGGATATTCTAGTTTTTTTTTTTATTATTAAAGACTATTATTTTATCGTTCATTCTTTGATACAAAGAAAATTGAATTTTGGTAACACTTCAAGTTTATGAAAATTTTGGGTGTGACAGTTACTGAATTTGAAATTTGCTACTATGGGGTCATCAAAATTCTAAGTTTGTGATAGTTTGATTATTCAGTCCATATCTATTAGTTTGACTAATGAAAAAAACTAATGTGGCTGTCTAGTTGGTAAATAACTGGATTTCTACATCACCATTCACTAGTGATATTCAACTACCTCATCTAGAAGATTAAGTTGCTAAAGACGGGAACACATTTATTAATTTAAATTTTTTTCTTCAAAACACCCTCTCATTGCCCTTTAGATTTTTTAACAAAGGTGTGTCGAACGCGTGCACAATTTTCATACAAGGTGGCAAGATTTGAACTCAAAAGAGTATTGCATGCTCTGATACCAAGCGTAAGAAATTCATAAGAAAGCATAAGTTGTTCGAAAGGGGATGTGTTCAACAATTTATATTTTGTAATCAACAAGTCAAATTAGCTGATACATGGAGTGGTAACAAAGTTTTAATTTAGTCATCAACTAAAAACAAAATGAGTGTCAAGGATTAATATGAAATTTTGTTTAAAACTCGGTTTATTTAACCCTTTCATTTAATGAATTTAAAACAAGTGATGAAGCATTTCACTAGAAAATAAAAAGGATAAATCCACAATATCGTTGCTCCAAAGAAGGTACATTACCTAATACTTCTTGTGCTGTAAGCCGCTGCTTGGGGTCAGGGTTGAGCATCTTCTTTACAAGGTCTTTTGCATTAGCAGAAACCTTAGGCC